AAATTTAAAGTAAAATTAAATCTCATTCTTTTTTGTAGTGTGGGGCAGGCATCAGAAAAATACGAATGCCATTTCTAAACTAGAATTTAAGAGAAAAAGCCCTTTAGTTGAAAAGTCTTACTTGTAAAATTAAGTTAGTATTTTAAAACTTCATGAGAGTTTATGACTGCTAATCCAACATTCCTGGCTGTTTTATGTTTTACTCTTCCAAGCTTTCCATCAGTGTCATTCTTTTCTAACATAAAAAGTGCACATTGTCTCTTTTTTTCAACCTCACAAACAGCATAATTGGTTAAAGCCAAGTGTAGCATTTTAAGTAATAGTATAGATCAATTTAAAGCAGATTGGCTCAGAAGGCAGCTTAAGCATTGAAAATTAAATTTGATGTAGTCTAGACAAGTGATCCTGATAATATCTTTTCCAGAATTTCCTAGATTGCCTGTCTAGACTGCTCTAAATTCCCCAGGTAATTGCATAATCATCTTCCTCCTGACTTCTTAAACATTCTGGAATGGTATTTCCCAATTTATAGTATTCATGAAAATCAAAATCACTGAGCTTCTTAAGGTGGACTTTTTTCAAAAGCTCTGAGTTTCTAGGAAAATACTTGTGCCCTGATACCTCATTTCAATGGACCTCAGATGGGAAGCTAAGTTTATTTATTATATCAGTGGAGGAGATCCTGAGTAAATGGCCTGTACCTCTCCAGTCCCCTACCAGCCCACCCATAGAGAAACAACGAATAGATGACTTGAGCGGTATTAGACTGTTCACTCTACAAAACAGCAACCATATACGGGAGGGGGGACATCATAGGAAAATAAAAATGCATGGATGATATATGGAATTTTAACACAATAATCACAAGCATAGTGTAAGCCTCAGTGTTTGAAAATGAGGGAATTAAAATAAGCACAGAATCACCCAGCAAAGAAAGTCCATTGGCATTATTTATAGCCTCAGATGAGATGAGGGATATTAAGAGGTAAGATGACAATTATCACAAGAAAAACAGCAACAGCTTTCAGTCTAAGATACAGGTCTCATAACCATAGTGATTGTTCTTTTTTTCTAGATTAGACACGTAGATGCAGTGAATAAAGCAGCTCTCTGCAGGTCGAGTAGCTGAAACTGAAGAGAGGTTGAATACTACCCTGCAGTCTGAGGTCAGGGGACATGCTTTGAGCAGTGATGAGATTAGAATTTGTGAGTTTCTATAGCACAAAGTCTCAATCAAGCAGATGGAAAGCAATTAGAAGTAATGAGTCAACATGAGTCTCATGTAACTTACATAGATATGTAGAACCACAATGCTTTTACTTTGATTTACATATTATGAGACAGCATCCCTAAGAGTAAAGTAACTCTTCCAGTGGTCCACAGTTAGCAATTTTTAGAGAATTATCTAAAACCTACTGTGACACGGCAATCCACGTCTTTGACACTACTGTACGCTAGGAGATTCCTGACCACTCTAGCAGGTTCCTAATACTGCTCATCAGGTACAGAATGCAGCTCTCTTGGGCTTCTCCACAATACAGAAAATTGGGTTAATCACCCTGGGTTCAACTGTTGGGATCCCTGATAGAAATCAGTAGCTTCACACTTGGGAAAGTAGCTGAGAAAGAATTATTTAATCAAAAGGAGCTGAAAACATTAAGTGTATATTCCTCAGGGCCTTGTGAATTTATTCCTAATTTTCTCAACATGAAAAAAGAGACTTAAAGAGGAGTTCTTTTCCTTAAATCACTTTATGATGAATACTCTGAATATGCTGATAGATGATGACTGTATCAGCAAGGCTTTTGAGGAAGAGGAGAAAGAATGGGAGGAGGGGCATGGGCATACCTAAATTGATGAATACTTGGGAAAGTGTCCTCAAATTCCTGTTCTCAGTAAGGAAACAGCAGAACATTATTGGTTTTAACTTTGGAAAGACATAACCTGTCACATGTCTTCTTATTTGAAGAAGCATAACAGGAACTATCTCAACTTTTTGCTTTTGAATCAAAACAACACATTCTTATCACCATAGGACACCTGAAGAAAATGTAGCAGGAATCTAGAATTAAAAAAAAAAAAGTGACTAACATGTAAATTGGAACTTATCTTTAGGATTCCAGAAATATTCTGTGAACAAATCCTTTATTTGTTGAGCATTTCTGAATTCCAATTTGGAAGGAAATTCTGTCATAAATGATTTTCTCACCACATGAATACTCCCTCTTCTGAGAATTTAGTGCCAAAAATGACAAAAGTATTTATAATTGAAGCAATTGAGAAGCCCAGCTCACAAACAGCTTTCAACATTACCAAACACTCCTCATTTCAATTTTGACTCAAATTTACTTAACTATAATTCTCATTAAAATTTCTGGTTACAACATCCTTCAGTAGACATACTAGTGATATTTTTTTCAGACCAATGTAATAGCCGCAAACAAATAAGCAAAGCTTAACAGGGCAAGAATCTAAATGTGAGATGTGATCTTTGAGCTCATACATGAAGAATATCTTTCTTAACCAGAGACAGAAGAACATGACTGGGATGCTACTAGCTTGAGCTGTGGAGGGGTTTAGGCAACACACAAATGAAGGAGGAAAAAACATACATTGAGCTTGTTATGTCAGCCTCACATGCAATGTGGACTGACACTAACTGTAGGGGCGAACAAATGCTTTCTTCCTTCCTCCTATTCCATGGTTATTATTGAGTGATGGACTCATTGTTTTATATTCACAGACTAAAATTAAGAACATCTGAGTTTGAAGTAGGTCCCCATGAATAGTGAACCAGAAGTTAAATGAGCTGAAGAAATTAGTAATGAATCATTTAAGGAGGAAGGAGTCAGGGACGAAAAAATGTTTTTAAAAACCAGCTTTACCTCAGGATGATGTCCAATTTCAATATAGGTGCAAATTGGATGAAAAGCCCCAGTTCCACAGGCATATAAGTGAGTCTGATTATAAGCCTTAAGGACCTTGATGAAATTAGCACATTCTTTCTGTAAGACAAAAGGCAGACCAGTGAGTTCTAGCATTCAGCCTGAATGAAAAATTCTCTAGGGTACTGGGCATGCTGGGGCAAATTCTGTGTGTAATCCTTTCCCAATTCGTTAGAGCTCATTTATTGTTCCATATAATTACATACATTAAAATATTCAATTCTTACACTTTGAGGAAAGAAATATAATGTGCCATTCATAACTCTTTCATTAAAGCTATTTCCAGTACATATGGCTTTTCTAAAATGGAGGACTGAAGCAAATTGCTAACTAATCTATTACTCAAACAAGATGATGGTAAAATTTTTCTTACAAAAATTACATTTGAGGTACATTGGGAATGAAAACCAAAAAAAAAAAAAGACAAAATTAACTATAAAATTACAACTAAAAGCTAATATAAAATTAATCCCCATTAGAAATTTATTTTGATTGCTTTCAAATGAATTTTCATATGTTTCATAATAATTTTTGTTTTATTGGTCACAGACTTTCTTAGTGATTTTTTTTCAGTCAAATATCTAAATTAAACACTACAGAGATAATTATAAATGCAGATAAAGATCTAAAGCAGTCTACTGTGTAAGCAATGTTGGCTCACATATTGGAGGACCATGTTGATTCTGGTGTTTCTAAGTGTGCTATGTCCTCAAAGCCTTCTCTGCGACCTGTGACTTCTCAGGTGTGAACTCAGAATGCATCTGGACTTATGTAGTCAAGTGGAGTTTATAACTGAAGTGTTATAACCATCTGAATACATTTCCACATGATACTTGTATTCAGTATTTGCAGCTGAAGATTTGAATCTTAACTCCACTGGCCCATAAAATAAGGTGCAGACAAATTTAACAGAATAACTGTCTTTTAAATTCAAGGAACTACAGTTCAACCTATCTGATCCTTCTAGAATGAAACCTGATACTGTCCCTTGAATATATTTTCTTTAAGATGAATTACACTAATTTGAAACAAAAATTAAGTTTCAAGTTGTGATGCCTCATGCTTTCTTAACCATAATGTATAGTTTGGGTAGAAAGAATAATAATAAAAGCAAATTCTTTGACCATTTTGTTAATTAAATCCTGAATTTTTTAAAGACATTGTAACATAAAACTGCTATGTGAAATCAACTAACTTTTTAAGTTTTCTGTTATGAGGAAAAAATTCATAGCTTAAAGAGTATGTGTACCCTTTTTATTACTTTGAACAGGTTACCTCCTATTCAAAAGAACTGTGCTTTGAAGCAAATAAAACTTCATTCCCACCATTCTTGAAAGCAAACTTTTCATTATGTAACAGTTTCTCCTCCTTCCCTAGAGGACAGGGCATGAATGCCTGGGCACAGGAAGGATCTTGGGGAAGGGAAACATCTGATAAACTCATTTACAAATGAAGCATTCATGAGTTTTACCCACAGGATATATTTGTACTCTTTAAAAATTCAGTCATTTTCAAAGAAGCCATTTTTAGGAAATTTTTACTTTGAAACATGTAGGTGGTCACATACTCTGCTTTTAAAAAGACAATCATCCTTCATTGTGGGCTCAATATTATCATATTCAAGACGACAAATAAAGAGTTCCAGCACCATATGTCAAAATCAAGATACTGGCTGCACATGCATTGCTAAGCAAATGGATATTCTAATAAACAGTGGTGGCAGACCCAGATGGTTGCCTTGTTCATTTCAGAAAAGAATAAGACCAGTTGGTTTGTGGGCCACACCTGTAAAGATGTGCATGCCATTTTGCACACAACGTAAATTCTCTAGTTTCATAGTTAACACCCAATGCTGCCCAGCAACTTAAGAGTATAACTTAGCTCTCTGTAATAAAAACGGAAAACACTATTATTAGTATGCATACTTGCAAACACAAAGAAAGGGTCATGTTACCCCTACAACTGTTAAGAATTTTAATGCTAAAGTTTTTGTGAGTTCTTTATTTCTTATAGATTAGATAACCAATTAGCAATTTACCACTGACCAAGTATGTCTTTCCAAATAATCTAACAGGTTATAATTAATGCCCCTCTCCCAAAAAAACCTCCCTAAGCCCTTGAAAGCCACAAAATTGGACCACATTGAATATCAAATTCTCAATTTGTTCCCTATTAACTGTTAAAAAAGAACCACTATAGTATGATAACTATTCTTCTACAAAGCTGCTGGAACAAAATCAATCATAGTACTGGAGCTGTGAAACCTGGCAAAGAGTTCTACGAAGTCTGCTGATAAGTGAGTCTATCTGTGTTACAGAGAAAGGAGTCCCACCCTATTGGCCCGAGGCCTGGAATGATCTCCTTCATTTCCTCCCTTGAAATCTTTTACTTGGCAGCAAGTTGTATTGTTGCCATGCCCTGGGGCTACCTTGGTATTATTTTTGAAACTAAAGGTTGGTGAAAATAGAATGGGAAGCAATTCCTTGAGTTTAGAGGGTGAAAAGATGGTTTCAGGAAAACAAAGGAATGGAATTAAATACTTTCAGAAATGGTTAAAAATAGCTGAAGGAAGAATCCTGTGCCACCAAGGAGGAAGAAAGCACACCAAAGGAACTGAACAGAGAAGAACCAAAAAGTGAAAGACATGTTAGGAAGGATTTGTTCTTAAAGGAAAGTCGACATGAAAGTATCATTTCTGTCATTCATGTGCTTTCCTCTCGAGTTTGTTGCTGCCAAGCTTTTTGAGTGTTCCCAAACAGGATATTCATTTTATTTGGAGGCTGCCTGGACATTCCTCTGAAAAAGGAAGCGTGGCAGCAAGGAAACACACTTCACACATTGCTGCTCTGGAGAGACAGAAGACGAGTGTTTCTGACCTTTCCTTGAACCGTGACGTTTCTTAAAACTCAGAATGTAATGTACTTTTTGGCATTAAACTACTGCACTGCTTTGCTCCACATTGGCGGATTTACGGCTCAATAAAGACAGGGCAGTCAGTTCAAAATGAATTCACTTTTCAAGCCTTGAGCCTTTGTGGAACTTAAACTGATATACACAGACGAATTTAGCAACATGTCGCCTTTCTGAGAGTCAGCAATCACACTGACCTCCAGCATCAACAGCATTCCAAAACTGTTAGTTTAGGAATAAAAGTAAAAGCAGTTATAAGCCAATAGGACTTTGGGCCACACCTGAGGGATGAGGATTCATCATGCTCCAAGACAGGAGCTTGCAGTTGACTTTTAGGGGTTCTAGCCTTTTTGATCACATGAATAATTTTAGGTATAAAATATTAGCCTAAATTTGGAAAGAAATTTAAAGAATATCTATCACTGAAAATGATAGATGAGCCCAAAGCACAGGGAATCAAAAACAAACACTACAGATACGTAGCACTGATTACACTGCATTACACAGAATTCTCCTGGACGGTTACAAAAATAATGTCCATCCATCTGTCAAAACAACTGCTCCATGCATGAAAATTCAAACAGAGCAGAGATGTTTTTAACTAACTTTGGATCATTAAGCTTTCTACAAAAGAACATAATTTACCTCCGATTCCAATTACCTCCTTGCCTGTCCTTAAATTATGGACAAAATAGTGAAAATTTAATCCAGATAAAGAAAGAATAGAGAAATGGGGAGGAGACGGTGAACATGAACAATCTCTATTCAAATATATTCAGCTCATGATTAAATCAAGCAACTTGTTCTGGTTCAAATATAAACCAGCCCCAAATGAATGGGGATAGAATAGCACTGCCTCAGGTCAGTGACAATTCATTTCTTTGAAAAAATCAATAGTTTCTGTGTCATCAGTTGCTTATGCGGAAATATTGTAATGTATAACCTAGCAGCTGGGAAAGCAAAGGAATCTCTATCAGGATTTGAGAATGCATTCTTCAGGAAAATCCATTAATAAGCTTAATTCCTGAAGTTAATCTCTTGACTCTCTTCTCTGGTCCATTTATTTGGCAAGCAGGCTGACTACTCTGAGCTTCATGCCAAAGCAGTAATCCATGAGATTGTCCCTGTCACTCAATTTATCCCTCCTTCTACTTAAGTCGTTCCATATTTACCTAGCAATAATGCTTTGTCTTTTTCCTTTTTGAATTCTGCTGTTAGAGCTGTGATCTGATCATCCTCAATCATGTCTTTCTAATACTTCAACAATCACTAAAGATGTTATAATTCTCTTCTTCAAAGAGGCAAATCTATAAACCTGACATTCAGCTATGTTCTAATTATCATACTACCTATCTAATGTTGAATTTGTGACTTATAACATATATACCTTTATCATAACATAATTCATTGATCAAAGCACAGAAACAATCTCTGTTTAATCATGTCAGAGGGAGGAGAGATAAAAGGAAGCTCAGCTTGTAGAGATTACAGATTTCCCTTCTTCCATTTCCATTGTTTCATAACAAAAGTTAAAATTGTTTTGGGGGCTGGAGTGATGTCTCAGGGGTTATAAGCACTTGCTGCTCTTGCAGAATACCAGGGTTCCAGTGCCAGCACCAATAGGGATACTAACAGCCATCAGTAACTCCAGTTCCAGAGGATCCAATACCCTCTACTGGCCTCTGTGGGCACTGCACACAGATGGTGCACTTACAACATGCAGGCAAATACCTCACCATATGCATATGATAAAAATAAATTTTTAAACATCGTATTGGTTAGAGTCCTCAATGAACAAAATGCTAAAGAGCATTATATATTTATTAATGTAAAATGTTCCTTTAACATATCTCTTAATTCAGACTAAGAAGTTTCAGTACCATAATGGTGACACTGATATATATATATATTCAGGTAGAAGTGGATAGTCCACATAGATAATCAGTGACTCTATTCCTTTTCTTTATGTTTTAAAAAATCCCGTGTGAGAATATTAAAAAGTGAAATATTGGAAAGAAATTTATTTATTTATTTATTTATTTTTTGTCTGTTTTGAGACAGGGTCTCCCTGTAGCTCCAGCTGGCCTGGAACTCTCTATGTAGACCAGGCTGGTCTTGAACTCACAGATATCCACCTGCCTCTGTCTCCT